TATATATATATATATATATATATATATATATATATATATAATAAATATAAATTTTTAACAACAAAATCACACTCAGTAGTAGTACTATGTATGTGTGTGTTTATGTGCATATTTGTATCGTTACCTCTTAAAAATTTAAACAGAAGTACCTATAAAACTGTCCATTTATACTTAACTATATCTATCGACTGCTACTACGACTACTGTTTCTATTTTCACCATTATATGTGTGCATCTATCTATATGCTATGTTTCCTGTGCGTAAGATCGTATCGTCTCTTCTTACTATCGCATATAAGCTAATGTAAACTCTCCTCAACTAAACTCTAAATCTATAAATGAATCTAATTTTAAAGCAACGTTTGAAAGAATCTATAAAGTATGCACCGCCATTCGATCTCATTTAACTATTATTTTGAGTTTATTTTTTTTTTTTTTTTTTATTAATTATCAATTTTTTGTTTTAAATTTATTTTTAACGATATGTAACTATGAAAAATATGTGTTGTATTCGAAAAATGGGTTGAAATAATTAAATATTTGACGTTAGTTGTCAATCGAAAGATTGTTTTATTCGTGGGTTATAGTATATTAGACTAAGGTAAGTGCTACAAATGTATTATTATAATTTCTATGTGTTTTAATCTAATTGCAAAGATTTCCATCCATTAAACCTGTCTTATTCGTTATCCTTTTAACTATCTCTGTGACTCTCTCTCTCTCTCTCGCTCTGTTTCCGAATATTTTTTAAAACAATGAAACCTGAGAATCCAATGACAACTTAGTTATAATGTCTACAATGTTTCAAGTATTTCCGCCACAAAACAAAAAAATAAATAAATAAATTAAACAACACACAATTCTAGAAAATCGTCTAGGTTGAGCCTATTTCTAATTGGGGCTTTTTATTTTTAAGGCTAGATAGCTTATTCAATTATACTTCATTAAATTTATCATTTACAAAAAAAATTATTTTGTATGTTAAACAACATAAATTAAGAAATACTCACCAACTGCACTAACTAACTAATAACTTTGTATGATTTCTTTTCAAACTATAAAAACAAACTAACCTCGAAAACAAAAGAAAATATTTCCATTTATCAAAACTAAACACGCATAACAGCCACAAATATATATTAATCAAGCTCGAAGAATATTTCTACTAATTGTTTCTTATGCTAAACTAATGTAATAATAATACCAATATAAAAACGAAAACAGGAGCATAACCAAACTAACTAAACGTTCTTATAAACTTTTCCCTCTTGCAACTGTTTACTCTTTTTCTCTTTTACTCCTTATGTAATGTATGTATTTTACATAATCAAAACACGTCTATGTAAAATATATATAGTGCATATGCTGTCTATGTATGTGTATTTTTCCTACTCTACACCCGCCATTTGAAATCTCACTATCATAAGCTTTGCACACACACGACTTACTGTGACTCTTTCTCTCGTTTTCTATCTGTCTACATCTCTCTACTTGCTAATTATATTAGTACTTACTGTTACATGAATACGTTTATACGAACTGCTTTACTGACCTCAATAAAATTAGTTTGTTTTGGTATTTTCATTTCGCGAGCAAAACAATTATGTTTGATTTTCTAACTGCCGCCCAAACCCCTTTGCCATCACCTGCTACATTGCATTTTGAGTGACGTACCATTTTCATTTAGAACAATTACATATTCTTATATATATTTGGCTACCGTACAGTTATCAGTTGCACTCAAGAACATAACTTTACAAATCGTTGCGCTATGTTAGTTAACATAAGCATATACTCAAAATACATATACATATACCAGTTAAACATACATATAACATTTGTAGTCTACTCTACAAAGTATGCTTATTTATTGCTGTTTCCATACTCAATTTCTTTTTACAGAACTGAAAAATCAAATAGAAACGCAAGTAAATGAGCTAAAAACTCAAATAGAGGGAAAATGTGTCATGCAGTGATATGTCAGTCATCATAAAATATATATATATAAATAATATTCAAAATTAATTCAAATAATAATAACTGAAAGAGTAAAAACGAAACATTTAAATGCAATTGATTTCTAAAACTTGAATTTGTTGATAAAAAAAATAACATAATTATTATGTCACACATATGTTCTTCGTAACTCTGAAATAATACGTTTATTAACTATATATATATATGTATATATAGTATATGTACATATATATATATATATATATATATATATATAAACACAAATTCATGAATCGGAAACAAAAATCAAGCAAAACTATAAAACGCCGTATATATATCGAACAAACTAAAAAAAAACTGCAAAATAATAATGATAATGACTAAAATAATATACAATGTATGAAAAACAGGACGGTGAAATCCTATTGAATTTTAAAAGTAGTTAAAACATGAACTAAATTATGTATAAATGAAATATATAGTAAACGCCTTTAATAATATATTAAAATCACTTTTGCTTCGAAAATAATGTAATATACTCAATGCCCCCAAAACTAAATAAAAAAAAAAAAAAGAAACAAACAAAATAACAGAAACGATATCGATGACATAGTCGTTATCGTAACTAAAACATTACTGCGATTGGTGCGACAGAGACAGAGTCAGAAAACAGTTATAATGGAGAGGTTGCTGAATCATGTCGAACCGTCGAAATAAGTTGCTGAAGAATCTTCTTTTGGACTTCAATGAAACATAATTACATAAACATGCCTCACAATATGTACACGAATCTCCAAGGAAACTGAATACATTCATAACACTTTCGAACTTTTTCTATTGACGATAAATAATTAGATATAATACTTCCAAAGAAGTGAAAATTAAACTTTCCCAAATGTGAACTACAAAATCAACGTTGGTACTCGAACTGTTTGAAGAAATGAGAACAAAATCTTGATGAACCAAACCCAAGATCTCATGATTGTTTTGTTCTTTTGAAAGTCTCCATTAACAGCTGTAACATTTTGTTTCTTTTCTATACAAAACAAATACATTTACACAACAATCTGAGAACATTCTAAGCTATTTGAGATACTTAATGAACATACTGATTGAAGCTTCTAAAATGTAAGTAAAACCAACTCCTATACCTAGAATTAAAACTATACATTAAACATTTTAAAAACTTTCAGTTTCCTTATTAAAACCGATATATATTTATTAAGTTACAAAATTATCAAATAGGACATAATGTATAATAAGCAGAAAAAATATAGAAACTTAGATAAAACTTTATATTGTAGGCATTTAGCCCAGGACAATAGATCTTAAGAAACCACTAGGCAGTTCGAGAGCATAATGCTGTGATACATTTAGCATACATTTTGTCACGTCCCCTCTTAAAAAAGTAATAATAATAATAAATAATAAAAAAAAAAATTGATGCATGATTTAAAGCAAAAACCTAAATATAATCACATACTTAATACATAATATCATAATACATGCAGACAATGCTAACGATTAAAGACGGAAACATATACTATATATATTTTCTATACATATAACTCTGTTGTCTGCTCCGACTCTATAATATTTGGGTCCTAAGGGTAGGTACTTGCGTACATCCCATTCGAAATCCACAAACATATATACAACAAATATATATTTAAATACCACATCTGAATTGTATATAATACGATGTTTCACGCAATACTCTGGTACAGAATTCTATGCATGAATGTACATATGTAAGTCATGCACATATACGAGTCAAGTATATATCAATTATTAAATAATTGTATGTGAACTTATCGTTAATCGATTAATTGGCGATTTAAGACTCGTATACGAGTAAAAATAAACAAATAATAATAACAATATATATATACAATATATATATATATATATATATATATATATATA